GGGGGGGGGGGGGGGGAGAAGTGGGGAGGGATTGACGTGTGGGTGGCGACGGCTGTTTGCTCGGCTTTAGACGGTTTACAGGAAAAGTATCCGACTAGTTACAAGTCGGCTCTGTTTACGTCGCTCGCCTCGCAATGAAAACAATAAGTGTGGTACGCTTGTCTGCTAAACTGCACTTGACTTCAAAATTATCCGAATTAGCGTCAAATTTCAATGCCAAGATAATTTATGTTACTTCTCAAATCGTCTCGTCTTTGCTTCGATATTATTCCATTTCCTCTGTTCTATTTACAAGTAAATTGATATGCGTTTGATAGAAACAATATACATATGTGAAATTTTTTATCTACGGAATAAATTAATAATAAATATATTTGTAGGACACGAATATATGAAAGAGAGAAGAAAGAATATAAGAAAAATATGTGAAAAATAAGAATCAAATCAGATCAGCGATAGATCAAGCGATTAATTGAAGTACATCTGGTTTTACATCAATAATAAATCACATCTAAATTTAACTCGCTTTAATATAATTTTAGCTCTTTAACATAATTTATTGGATAAAAATGACTAAATTAAGAACGGATGATTCAAATGCTCCAGACGATCATCAACGTAAAAGAAACTATAATACAATGGCTAACAATAATAGCTTGTTCTGTTTCTACGGATTGCCAATATCAGTAACAAAATTATTATTTATCTACAATATTATAAAATTTGTTATCATTTTACAGTTTTTCTCGTGCGATTAAATAAATGCTCTAATAAATATCGAAAGATATTTTCAGACATATTCCGAGAATATGTGTCTAAAATTATTCCAGCTAGAATACCTTTTAGGATAATAGCTTTCTTCCTACCGTGTGTTAAGGTTAAAAGTGAGAAAGTATAATATTTCTCGATAATCTTCCACAAACAAGAAAATATAACTATTGCCTGCCACCCACTATCGTTATTAATATGTCGCATGCGATGCAAGTGTCTAGTTTCCCATCATCGTGCACCTGCACACCCGGTGATTTTCGGAACCGAATATGTGGCACTGAATGCATATGAGCGATATACCCAAAGCCTGCTGATGCAGTTTTTGCAACATATTAACCGCGTCATCAAAAGACCACAATATTTTATTAGCTGTCAGAACTCGGCGTGCGTCGTTTGTTATCGAAATCATTTCTGTCACTATTTCTACTGCGCATTTGTCGAATATTATAAATGTCTCTTTTTGCAATAAAAATACTATATCTCACTAAAAACGTTTAAAATTATAGTAATCTCTCTCTCTGTATAAAATCAATTATCTAATTAATTGTTTGTATCTTCATAATTCCAATAATAAAAAGATTAAAGCGCATAAAATATCCTTTTTAGAGAATATTATGGAAAATATATTAATTTTATCAAGAAGTACAAGATTATTAAATATTTCTTATTAATCAGATTATTGAATATTTCTTATAAATCAATGTATATAATAACACAGAGTATATAAAGAGCTTGAAAAACAAACATTAAACTTAAATTTAATTTAATAAATTAAAAATAAAATAGTTCACCGTGATTTTCTAAACATTTTTGCAAAAACAAAGCGAAATCTAATGTGTATGACATTGTGAAGTTGATATCAATCCTTACACAAGGGCTTTTCCCACGTGTTGGCAATTTGTATGTATAATTCTCTTGCCAGTAAACGAAAATCACCGGTCGAGAATCAAGGAGAAAATTACACACTAAATGCGGTGCAGTTTCAACCCGGAGAACTCTCGTGTTCCTGTCAACTGAGTCGGACATAACTGAGAGAACTAGCCGGCGACCAAAGGCCAACGCAACATCGCCGGATCAAATATCCATTTCCGTTCCTGCCGACGTGAAGTGTACGTCTCTGCATGGCTCGCTACTGGAAACGATGCGATGGCTTTTACGATGGAAAAAAGAAGCACAGAGAAAAAAACCCGGTTTTTTCCCCAAACTACTTTTTTCCTAAATTAATAATATCAGATCGTCCTCCTATCGTGTCTCAATATGGACTGTTTCAAAGAACATTTTACACGGTGAATTTATCTTAATTTAAGAGAGCCTGGTGTGTAGTGAGGCATATAAATAAAGGTTTCTATTTTATATTGAATTAGTACTTTTCATATTAATTATTATTATCAATATTTTATACTCTCACTGTTTTTTACCGTGAAAGAAATGTAAATGTGTGAAGAAATAAACGAGACTTGAAAAATGATCGAAGCTATTTTCTTCATATTCTCGTGTCTCGATATATTAAAAACAATTAAAAAATAATTGAACATAAACGAGAACACGAGAACGTCACGCGCACGTGCTTTAATTCACAGTAGTGATAGCAAGTATTTGCACAGTGACTGTATGACATGTGATATGTTAATCGCGATAAGAAAAGCGCTGTTTGAAGTTTAATTTTTCATGAGAAATCAAAAGTAAGAGTTGCATTGTGATGCCCAGATGTCGTCGACCGATTACTTTTCTCGCGGATCCGGTAATTGTAAGATATAAAATTATTTTTATTTCGGTAATTCTTGCATTTATTTGAACAATTTTATTTATTTTAATATAAAACTGTTTCATTTTTAATAGCATACAAACAAAAATGTTTAAAAGTTTATACGTAGTATAATTATAGTTTATACATATTAATTGTGACAAAAATTTTCTCTCCTCTTTTTCTATATAAAATGAAAGTGAATACCGTCTTCAATTTGAATTTTATCCGAATCGAATAAATATAGATAGATATTTATCTCCTCCGATCATATTTAAATTCTGTATATCATTAGTGTTTCGAGATTAATATGAATTATTAAAAATAAGATATGATATATCTTATCTCCAAGGATAAATAAGAAATGATTGTTTCTTATCATTTCTAATTGTAATACGTGTGAAACATTTTAATATGCATATGATATTTCTTCTAAGAGTTACTGACAACGGCCTTAACAGGTAACAAAACAAATATCATATGTGTAAAGATAATATGGCTCCAAAGAAACTCGACTCCACTAATGAGAAACAGCTGAGAGGGATCTGTAACAATTGGATCGTTTGACCTGTTTTTATTGGCAGCTTGCGCAAGCGAGGAGCTCGAACGCTATCGTGTTTTACAGTTCGACCGCACGACTAGAATCATTTCGCGACACTGCTGGTGGCACTGATAAAAAAAATGCATATCTGATCGCGCTCTCGCGAAGTATATCCGCTTTTCTGTCTAAAGCAAATAACGTACGGGAGGCACGGCGCAGATGATTTCGTTCCGAGACATATACCTGGCAAGGAAAGAGATAGCTGCCTAAATCGGCTGACTTGGGCTTCTATTTTCGTCTTAAGAAGTGGGACTGACTCCACCACGTCGAGCACAGTCGCCTCTTCATCTTCGTCGCGTCGGATATGCTCGCGAGTGACCGTGAAAATAACAAGATCGCCACGATAACCGGTGAGAGAAACCCTTCTTGCATTAACGTTCGATAGTGTTGACAGTTTTGAAATTCGAAATAACTACAGTACAGTGAGTGTAATTTAGTGATGCACGTGCAGAGGGAAATAGAAATTTTCGGTTCCTACAGCTAACAGTTTTCGGAATCTTAACTAGATTACCGAACAGTGTATTAAATAAAAGAGAGAAAGAATATATAAAAACTTTAAATAATCAGAGAATATGTTTACAAACAATTATTTTGTAAGACTCGTTAGTTTTGTTGGAAAAGTCTTCAAATTTCGTTTGTGTTTAAGGACAGTTGTTTAAGTCTCCATCCATACTTATTATATTACGTCGTAGAAACAATATGCGTATTTAGTTATTACAATTTATATTATGTATAAATTTTAGATGAATTTCATACATATTTAAGAAATTAAATTAATTAAATGTATAAAAAAGCAAACATCTTATTCAAATATTTAATATTTATCTTTTAATATAACATAGGTATGTAGGTATAGATCACACTTTTAAAAACATTTCTTAATATTATCCTTTTTTTCTTGTTTTTTTTTTGTTTTATCTGTAAAAATGTTTTTTTCCGCAAGTAGATCTCTGTACCTGAATTCTATTCATATCTCTCATATTTTTAATTATACTGTTTATTATATAATCCACAATATAAACACGAGGCTTCACTTCGTAAAGTCACTGGTTTTTCATTTTTCAGACAACGTTAACGAATCGGCTGACTTCAATAAAGCCATCTCGACAACAGGTAAAGTTTTTTAAGTCTCATTCAAAATAATAATATTTACTATTTTTTTATTTTGTCTGTTTGTCTGTCTTCCTAACTTATCTTTTAGGCTATGGAGTATTTAATGTGTTACTGCTACTGGCAACATTGCCAATCGCATGGACCGCCATTTTCGATACTACTTCCGGCGCTTTTATCTTGGCATCAGCAGAATGCGACTTGGAACTCACATTCTTTCGCAAAGGCGTACTCGTGGCATTTCCTTACATAGGTACAGAACTTTAAATAGAACCGATTAAGAGAGAGAAAGAGAGAAAGAGAGAAAGAGAGAAAGAGAGAGAGAGAGAGAGAGAAATAATTGTAATACTTCTATAAATCTGCAACGTATTAATAATTATTACAAAATTATAGCAATCTTCTAAGATTATAACAACTTAACATGAAAGATATAATAGAAATCTTTAAAAAAATACTTTAGAAAATCAAGTATTAATATGAGTATTATTGAATATCATTATTGTATCATAATTAGTCTATTATTTAATTAATTTGAAAGTTCAATTAATTTGATATTATATATCTACATCAACATTTTTTTCTATTTCTTTGCACAATGTAATTTATGTTAATTATTTTGATAGTATTAATTTATATCTTGATCTTTTGTAGGTATGACAACGACTGCTTTCATATGGGACTACATAACGCCCTATGTAAGCATGAAAATATTGTTCGTGCTTGCATTATTAACTGATTCTATTCTGAACATCGTGAGCAGTGGCGTACAATCTTATTATATATTTATACTAGTCAAGTTTCTCAGTGGGATCCTGTGAGTATTCGTAATTTTTCTAAAGAAATCACTAAAAAAAAATTCAGATATCTTTTAAAATCCAACTGTACTTTGCTTATTAAAAAAAAATTTATTAGTAAGTATCCAACATTGAAAAAAATAATTAACATTCTCAAATTTTACTATTTAATCACATTTTTAATAATAAAACATTTCTCAATATTAATTTTCTCTGATTAATAGCACAGTATTTTTTATAATTGAATTTTCTTCTAAAAATCTCGAGGGATTCAAATGCATGCTTTTCCGATCTCTTTATGTTTATCGCAACCTTCTACCCCCGTAATCTTACGCCCGATAAGGTGTAACGCGCGCGCATCTATGATTTACAGTGCAGGCGGCCCGTTAGCGATGGTGATGACGTACCTGACGGAATTCCATTCGGCGAGGTACAAGCCGCGTTTCACCACATGGGTGGGATTTCTCTTTGCCATAGGAAACATCGTGCCAGCAGGTAAACACGCGATCGCGTAATAAATCGTATAATGCATCGCACTTATCAACAACAACACGTTATTCGCGATAGCAAATAAATAATGCACGTAAAAATATATTAAGAGCTAAATTCAAGTAAAGAAATTGTGGATAGAAAATATATATTTTATAAAATATAGATCATTTATGTACACACGATAAATAAATACATATACCCACATATAGCTTTATATAATTAGCTGATATAATGCCTCAATTATAATTATATTATCTTTATAGTATCTTTATTTCTAATTCATATAAATATAGCTATGATATTCTAAGTAGCTCGCATGTGAAAAGGATCCAGAATTGATCTCATGCGGCTCTTTAGCCGCGCCGAGAGATTGGTGAAATTAGTTCGAAATTAGATTACGTGTCACACTATCACGGCGTTCTATGTATAATGATCAGTGAACTTTATCTAACAGCGTAAGATGAATCACACTGACACTAAATAGTTCCAGTTGAACGCGCAAGATATCGAGATATATTGCGAAGCTTTAAGAAATGAATCAGTTAATTTAGATTGAGAGTCTAATCTTACAATATCAGTAATTAGGACTTCTCTTTATCGCAAGGAAAGTAAAAAAATGGAAAAATCGGTTTTGTTTGATATTCTTCTCGGAAAAGAGGTTTAATAAAGAAAGAGAAAGCCATAATATATACATGTACTCTTATAAATTTATCTCAACAATTAAATATGTTCGACTTTTCAGCTCTAGGCTTCACGATATTGCCATTGAATTGGCACATCGATATCTTCGGTCAAGACTACAATTCCTGGCGTATATACCTGTTAATCTGCTCAATACCACCCGTCGTCGGCTTCGTGACAGCGACCATGTTACCGGAAAGCCCTAAATATCTCATGGCAATTGGCAGGTCCGATGCTGCTTTGAAATTATTTAGGAGAATGTATTGTATGAACACCAGACAACCTTCGGAAACGTTCCCGGTAAGTCGAGTAACACGCAATTCAGTTTTTATTTCAAGACTCTTTCGGATCTTGTTATTTATTAAATATATATATAAGTACTTGAATAGAAATATCTAAATATCTGAAGCTTTCCGGCGTAGTATAATCTTAAAATAATATGTATAATAAAAAAAATTTTACTAGTTAATTTTTAAGCCTGATTTAAATGATTTATAATTCCAAATAAAATTTTATTTATAATTTTATGTGTAGTGTACTTTTTGTGTTTATTTATAATTTAATATATTAAAATATGTGACATGATTATAAATAGATATCTAAAATTTTATCGCGAATTATAGATTGCCTCAATTTTAATCTACAAAGATAAAAAAGTATATATTTTATTTATTATAAAATTTGGAAGAATTTTTAATATATGGTTGAGAACTTAAGATTGAGTTTCAGAAATTAACATCAACATCAGATTTAAGGACTGATTTCAAACAGAGTATGTCCAAACTCGTTATTTTAGCCGTTTTTTTGATACAGCACTCAACTAAGATTCATTTTCATTTCTGACTCGGGCAACGACGATATTGCATTATTCGGGCGTTATTATCTTTTTACCAAGCTTATCGAGCAAAACTCGTTGTTTCGGGCTCTAATAAATGGCTGTGAGATATCCTTCGCGACTTCGTAGCGCTTCTGCTAGATACAAATGACATGTTTTATTTACGACACGTCTGCAGCGAAGAGAAAAAGAGTGAGAGGGCGAAGTAAAATGGAAGTACAGAATGACGCAAATCGCATTTTCTAGGCGGACAAAGGCAGAGTCGGCTACCACCGGTTGTCGCATATATTGCGTTCCCCAAACTTAAGCTTTGCATTTTTTTTTGTCATAAAAATCTTTAGATAGTAAATCGAGTATCGTGTAGTTACTTCTTAGATTTTAATAATACTATAATAAAAATAATGATAAATTTATGTCGTTTCTATGTGCTCTTTATATATTATATATTACATATTTCTCCCTTATCTCTCTTACACATTGTATAGTGTCTGCTTTCGTATTTTATACTGCTCTACCGGCACTGAATTTAGATAGCAGTGCACAAATCGAACGCATAATTCACTCGGTGAGCAGAGAAAAGAGCGCCTTTCATCGTCGCCTTTTCCTCGTTGCAGATAAAAGCGTTGCTCGTTCGGCAAAAGACGCAATTGACGCGTCCCGTGCTCGAGGCGAGTCTCGAGAGGATGCGCGTTTCGTTGTACAACACGAAGCTACTACTCACGACGACGGCTTACCTGCCCGCCTTCTGCTTCGTAAGTTTCCTCCAATTTGGAAGTATGCTCGGGTAAGTTTGAGTAAAGTCGCGGCGCTTTTCGACGCGACGATAATCAGCGCGACGGTAATTGACGCGATTTGCTGTTCGATCGCGCAGATTTAATACGATGAGACTATGGGTGCCGCATCTCTTCATCATCCTCAACAACTTCGACGCGGCGAATTGGACACCGAAGGACAGGCAACCGACCATATGCGAAATGTTGGACCGGCACGCGGCTCTACCCGGCAGACGGTACTTGAACTGCACGAACTTTGACGATGCGTGCTTCAAGGTTGGTGAAATGGCGCGAAACCAAGAGACACTTCATCCATGATCGTATTAGAATCGATCTTGGAGTACAAAGTAAAATTTAATCGCGAAAAATGTCTTTATTAATTAGTAATTGCGTTGATCATTTAATTTTAAAATAAAAACCTTTGTGTGCTATTATTAAATGTTCGCAACATTTTTAATTAACGTTAATTAAAACAATTATTAATTGATAACAAACGGCATGCTTCACAAAATTTAATGAGATTCTTCTATATAAATATTTTCTTTTTTATCTAATAATTATAATGTCTTATAATGTTATGTTTCAGTGGACTATTAATCTTGTGATTTATCAAAATTCTTCTATATAAATATTTTCTTTTTTATTTAATAATTATAATGTCTTATAATGTTATGTTTCAGTGGACTATTAATCTTGTGATTTATCAAAATTCTTCTATATAAATATTTTCTTTTTTATTTAATAATTATAATGTCTTATAATGTTATGTTTCAGTGGACTATTAATCTTGTGATTTATCAAAATTCTTCTATATAAATATTTTCTTTTTTATTTAATAATTATAATGTCTTATAATGTTATGTTTCAGTGGACTATTAATCTTGTGATTTATCAAAATTCTTCTATATAAATATTTTCTTTTTTATTTAATAATTATAATGTCTTATAATGTTATGTTTCAGTGGACTATTAATCTTGTGATTTATCAAAATTCTTCTATATAAATATTTTCTTTTTTATTTAATAATTATAATGTCTTATAATGTTATGTTTCAGTGGACTATTAATCTTGTGATTTATCAAAATTCTTCTATATAAATATTTTCTTTTTTATTTAATAATTATAATGTCTTATAATGTTATGTTTCAGTGGACTATTAATCTTGTGATTTATCAAAATTCTTCTATATAAATATTTTCTTTTTTATTTAATAATTATAATGTCTTATAATGTTATGTTTCAGTGGACTATTAATCTTGTGATTTATCAAAATTCTTCTATATAAATATTTTCTTTTTTATTTAATAATTATAATGTCTTATAATGTTATGTTTCAGTGGACTATTAATCTTGTGATTTATCAAAATTCTTCTATATAAATATTTTCTTTTTTATTTAATAATTATAATGTCTTATAATGTTATGTTTCAGTGGACTATTAATCTTGTGATTTATCAAAATTCTTCTATATAAATATTTTCTTTTTTATTTAATAATTATAATGTCTTATAATGTTATGTTTCAGTGGACTATTAATCTTGTGATTTATCAAAATTCTTCTATATAAATATTTTCTTTTTTATTTAATAATTATAATGTCTTATAATGTTATGTTTCAGTGGACTATTAATCTTGTGATTTATCAAAATTCTTCTATATAAATATTTTCTTTTTTATTTAATAATTATAATGTCTTATAATGTTATGTTTCAGTGGACTATTAATCTTGTGATTTATCAAAATTCTTCTATATAAATATTTTCTTTTTTATTTAATAATTATAATGTCTTATAATGTTATGTTTCAGTGGACTATTAATCTTGTGATTTATCAAAATTCTTCTATATAAATATTTTCTTTTTTATTTAATAATTATAATGTCTTATAATGTTATGTTTCAGTGGACTATTAATCTTGTGATTTATCAAAATTCTTCTATATAAATATTTTCTTTTTTATTTAATAATTATAATGTCTTATAATGTTATGTTTCAGTGGACTATTAATCTTGTGATTTATCAAAATTCTTCTATATAAATATTTTCTTTTTTATTTAATAATTATAATGTCTTATAATGTTATGTTTCAGTGGACTATTAATCTTGTGATTTATCAAAATTCTTCTATATAAATATTTTCTTTTTTATTTAATAATTATAATGTCTTATAATGTTATGTTTCAGTGGACTATTAATCTTGTGATTTATCAAAATTCTTCTATATAAATATTTTCTTTTTTATTTAATAATTATAATGTCTTATAATGTTATGTTTCAGTGGACTATTAATCTTGTGATTTATCAAAATTCTTCTATATAAATATTTTCTTTTTTATTTAATAATTATAATGTCTTATAATGTTATGTTTCAGTGGACTATTAATCTTGTGATTTATCAAAATTCTTCTATATAAATATTTTCTTTTTTATTTAATAATTATAATGTCTTATAATGTTATGTTTCAGTGGACTATTAATCTTGTGATTTATCAAAATTCTTCTATATAAATATTTTCTTTTTTATTTAATAATTATAATGTCTTATAATGTTATGTTTCAGTGGACTATTAATCTTGTGATTTATCAAAATTCTTCTATATAAATATTTTCTTTTTTATTTAATAATTATAATGTCTTATAATGTTATGTTTCAGTGGACTATTAATCTTGTGATTTATCAAAATTCTTCTATATAAATATTTTCTTTTTTATTTAATAATTATAATGTCTTATAATGTTATGTTTCAGTGGACTATTAATCTTGTGATTTATCAAAATTCTTCTATATAAATATTTTCTTTTTTATTTAATAATTATAATGTCTTATAATGTTATGTTTCAGTGGACTATTAATCTTGTGATTTATCAAAATTCTTCTATATAAATATTTTCTTTTTTATTTAATAATTATAATGTCTTATAATGTTATGTTTCAGTGGACTATTAATCTTGTGATTTATCAAAATTCTTCTATATAAATATTTTCTTTTTTATTTAATAATTATAATGTCTTATAATGTTATGTTTCAGTGGACTATTAATCTTGTGATTTATCAAAATTCTTCTATATAAATATTTTCTTTTTTATTTAATAATTATAATGTCTTATAATGTTATGTTTCAGTGGACTATTAATCTTGTGATTTATCAAAATTCTTCTATATAAATATTTTCTTTTTTATTTAATAATTATAATGTCTTATAATGTTATGTTTCAGTGGACTATTAATCTTGTGATTTATCAAAATTCTTCTATATAAATATTTTCTTTTTTATTTAATAATTATAATGTCTTATAATGTTATGTTTCAGTGGACTATTAATCTTGTGATTTATCAAAATTCTTCTATATAAATATTTTCTTTTTTATTTAATAATTATAATGTCTTATAATGTTATGTTTCAGTGGACTATTAATCTTGTGATTTATCAAAATTCTTCTATATAAATATTTTCTTTTTTATTTAATAATTATAATGTCTTATAATGTTATGTTTCAGTGGACTATTAATCTTGTGATTTATCAAAATTCTTCTATATAAATATTTTCTTTTTTATTTAATAATTATAATGTCTTATAATGTTATGTTTCAGTGGACTATTAATCTTGTGATTTATCAAAATTCTTCTATATAAATATTTTCTTTTTTATTTAATAATTATAATGTCTTATAATGTTATGTTTCAGTGGACTATTAATCTTGTGATTTATCAAAATTCTTCTATATAAATATTTTCTTTTTTATTTAATAATTATAATGTCTTATAATGTTATGTTTCAGTGGACTATTAATCTTGTGATTTATCAAAATTCTTCTATATAAATATTTTCTTTTTTATTTAATAATTATAATGTCTTATAATGTTATGTTTCAGTGGACTATTAATCTTGTGATTTATCAAAATTCTTCTATATAAATATTTTCTTTTTTATTTAATAATTATAATGTCTTATAATGTTATGTTTCAGTGGACTATTAATCTTGTGATTTATCAAAATTCTTCTATATAAATATTTTCTTTTTTATTTAATAATTATAATGTCTTATAATGTTATGTTTCAGTGGACTATTAATCTTGTGATTTATCAAAATTCTTCTATATAAATATTTTCTTTTTTATTTAATAATTATAATGTCTTATAATGTTATGTTTCAGTGGACTATTAATCTTGTGATTTATCAAAATTCTTCTATATAAATATTTTCTTTTTTATTTAATAATTATAATGTCTTATAATGTTATGTTTCAGTGGACTATTAATCTTGTGATTTATCAAAATTCTTCTATATAAATATTTTCTTTTTTATTTAATAATTATAATGTCTTATAATGTTATGTTTCAGTGGACTATTAATCTTGTGATTTATCAAAATTCTTCTATATAAATATTTTCTTTTTTATTTAATAATTATAATGTCTTATAATGTTATGTTTCAGTGGACTATTAATCTTGTGATTTATCAAAATTCTTCTATATAAATATTTTCTTTTTTATTTAATAATTATAATGTCTTATAATGTTATGTTTCAGTGGACTATTAATCTTGTGATTTATCAAAATTCTTCTATATAAATATTTTCTTTTTTATTTAATAATTATAATGTCTTATAATGTTATGTTTCAGTGGACTATTAATCTTGTGATTTATCAAAATTCTTCTATATAAATATTTTCTTTTTTATTTAATAATTATAATGTCTTATAATGTTATGTTTCAGTGGACTATTAATCTTGTGATTTATCAAAATTCTTCTATATAAATATTTTCTTTTTTATTTAATAATTATAATGTCTTATAATGTTATGTTTCAGTGGACTATTAATTCCGTGATTTATCAAAATTCCACCGTTATCGCGTCATCGGCTGTGATATTCTCATTTCTCGCTGGATTCATAACAATCACCAAGCTTCGAAAACAGATTATAATGCGTAAGATATTACATTGTTACATATTTATTCTGCAGAAAGTAAAAACTGCCGTTTTTCTCTATTAATCAATACTTTTCAAGAAATTATTTGTTAACTAATATAAGTTATGTTAACAGCACGAATGCAATAAATAATAGAAACGCATATATTACGCACCGAAAAAAATATATCCTTCCTTTTTCTTTCTTAAATGCCGTTTGTTGCATAATTTTTTACGTATTCCTGCTACGCGGCGTAGAAGTGGTTAAGGGTTGTCTACAGGACATAATTATTTGTACCCGGCGCGGAAATAATCCGTAAATTAATGGAAACAACACCATTGTTGCAGTCACGGCCTTCCTGATATCGGTGGCAAGCAGTTTCGGAATAAATTGGGCGCAGTCTCCGCCGTACATGCTGACGCTGGCGGCGGCGGTTATCGTGACGACAAGAATAGCGGGTAATATCGTTACCGCGGTGAATGTCGACGTTATTCCCGTCCCATTAAGGTAATGCCGCGCGAATATAAGCGCGTTTCTTTGACGCGCGCGACCGTATCCTCTTCGCTCTTCTCGCTCGCGCATCCCTCATGTAACCCTGGAGATTAATTGCGACCGCGTGGCAGACGCGAACGAAAGGGGGTGGGTGAGGGAGAGGAAAGAGGTTGTGTCTCTGAGATTTTATCGGGTGCAATTCTCCATTCGTCGCTTTATCATCGTCGTTCGTTAACGCGAGAAAAAGAGGATACGCTGCTCTGCGCGAGATAAATATAATTTCGGTCGGCGGAAATGAATCTTTCGTTGCAGAGCCACAAGCACCAGCATCCTCACCATCATTGGAAATATCGCAGCCGCTGTGGGAAATTTGATTTTCTCCGCGCTTCTGGGCACCAAGTGCATCGTCGCTTTCATGGGATTGGGCTGCCTCTTCTCTGGTACGATTAACGCAAGGATTTAATCCTTTCGTAACGAATCGTATTATACTTCGCGGATAAAAGAATTTACAAAATCACTGTTTTCGCGACGATAAATTCAATCAAATCTATAATGCAAGATATCTTACAATATAATGTTAAATTGAGTGTTAAAAATGATTAATCAAGTTAATCAAGATACGAATTATAAAGATTCAATAAATCTCATAAGACTTATAAGACCTATAAATCTCATCTCTCAATCAAGTTATCACAAAAGCTTTATAAAAATCTATAACGCATCACTAAAATTTTGGATTAATTAAATTAGATTAACACCTTAATTTTTTGATAAAGAAAAAATGTTTTTTAAATACATATTTATGCAGACATCTTTTAATATATATTTCTTTTTTTCACAGTCTGTTTCTGCGTATCCTTATTCTTTCCGCAACCCGTGAGAGAATCGTCGAAGAAACTTGCTGAAGCTAGCACGTCGAAAATATGAAGAAGATAATAGAGAAACTTTGAAATCATTCATGTACCACCCATTTAGGATTATAAAATTTAGATTAAATGTATAGCTGCTTTAAAAAGCTCTAAATTGAGCTGTGATATTTTTCTAAAACAATTTACCGAAAAGAAAATTTTGGAAAATGTAACAAGAAATTTAATATTAAATAAATATGCCTTCTATTCTCTCTTTCTTAGGAGAAATGGACGCAATATTTTTTATAAAACTTTTGATTTTTTCTTTTTTCGATCCTTCCTCGATATTCTTTATATTAACAATGCAATAATTAATAATTTACCATAAAACAGGTTCCACAAAACTTCGGACTTGTCTTTTAGGGAAACGTTTTCTGTTTACAGAAATATTCCCCGACGTTACGACTTACGATGGCAATTTTCCTTCGTAAAAGCTTATCGTCAGGAACACAGGTGCGAATGTAATGTTATTTCCTACGATTATAAAAATGTCGTTTCACCGAATAGCATCTTTAATCCCAACAATCATCTTGAACAACTATCTTCTGCATTTACATGTAATAATGTGAAATGTCTATATCTCTTGACTATATAGTTTTTAATAGTCCGTTAAAAGAAGTGCACAGCAAACGATAAAGTGAAATTTTCTTACAGATTTTTATACCATTAGATTTTTTTGTTAAACTATAATTATTTTAGATCCTAGGCTATACCAAGAATATATAATCCTATGGCTTATCTTATCTACATTTTACATCTTCTATATGCAGATTTTACGTCCTTTTGATTAAACTGCTTTCAGTTTCGTCCGCGGGGTTGAGGAAGCCGCATTTGAATTGGAAAACATTTTGCGCTTTCAATTCGTATGGAATTATTCAAAATTCCTCGTCGTCGCCTAGTAACGAGGGACTTACGTCAACCTGCGTGAGCATCGCGTTGCAGATAAGCGGCGACAGGTTGATTACGCGTAGCACGTGAGAGCCGCTCAAGTCGCACGCAATCGCGAATTATCGAAAGTTATCCAACGTGATAGTTAATTAGCTAGTTGTGCGCGCGAAACTAGCCGAGGGGCAAATTCGTCGTAAACTTTACCTATACCGAACATACATGAGGGAACCATATAAACACGTGCTTATTGCCGTAGCAAGGCGGCGAGGCAAGAGTTACCCCGTTAAAGCTGCACTCCTCCTGGTTTTGCCCGAAGCATAAACATCCAAACTTGTACGCGGTTTCCTCTGCTTCGGCACAATTGTGCGATATATAGGGCAGGGCGCCTCCATACCGCGGAATTAACGTAAGCCGCGCAGTTATTCGTCACTTAACCCTTTCGGGACTCGAGGGATAACGCGGAGCCAAAGAATGTTTTAATGCTATCTCAGGATTAAAGGCTTTCCGTAAGTTTCTGGCTTACATGAATGTTGGGTGCTGCCTCAAGGACCAAAATTCAAACAATTGTAATATCTCGAAAGAGCAACGTGTGTGTATTAGCTATGAAAGCCTTTCTGTAAAGCCCGCTTTAGATGATCTATAATCCGCGATAAATTTTAGGATAAAATTCATAATTTTATGTGCTACATATCCTAATGTATGTATGTATTCTGTTACATGTCTTTTATATGTGCGTGTATTTTACTTCCTCAAATATCTCTTGCACATAATAATAAAAATATAATAATATTATAAATGAATTCTGAATGATATTGTATAATAATATTATAAGTGGAAATCTGTTTCGAATTTTGTGACGAAATCTACATTGTTTAAAGCGTATTTAATATTTAAATTATGAAGTAGTATTTTACAACTATATAATTATAATTAAAATATATAAAAGTCTTAGTGGTAACAAATTTTCTATGTAACTATCTATTTACCTATTTCTGAAACTTTTTCATCTGCAAACAATCCATAATTTTTTTGTTTCAAAAGAAAATAAATATGTAAATATTTATGAAATAGACATAAACGCAACAATTTCATATTATTTTGAAATTTGTATGCCGAATAACTGTATGGTAGACAATAATTATATGGTTTATTTTATAAAATTATATACCGTGCGGCGTGACTCAACACCAACATCATTATTTAAACGAGACCACGCATGGTCGATCACTTCGGCAATTTTATCTCTGATTTAATCTCTATTGCGTTTAATATGTTATTCATTTTGAAATCATGTAATGGTCTTAATATCTCATTAATATTTTATTGCAATAAATATCGTGGTCGTTTTATTAAATGCGTTAATTAAAAGCAAATACATCGTAAATGAAGATGTTCGCACTCGACTATGGTGCAAATTAGTTAGTATGTAATATTATTGTTTTTTCAGCTCTTCACAAAATACGCAGCCATATAATTCACGTAAATCGTTATATACATTCAGTAACCTAACAAATTGGCTTTATAAATTTTAAATTAAAATCATTTTTATTAATTTTTACACACATTTATTATACGAGTAAGATAAATGAAAATGCATCTTGATGCCCTCTCTGATATAGACTAGATAGAGATGCTAAAATTTATCGATACTCAACGCTTATACTCTATGGATAATTTAACATACACTATCTTGAGTACCGCTATTTTTGAGTATTCTCATAGTAGCTCGATGCCTAAAATATTATCGGTCGAGTACAAGTATCAAATACTGATATTTTATCCACGCCTAACTATTTTATCGGCCGCCTTGTACGATACACTCCTGTTTACTGACTGCGAATGCACATTTCTTTGGATGCATTTTCTTGCAAACTAGTTTCCCTCAGATGCATATGCAGAATCAATTTTATCTCACTGATCAATATTATAAACACAGAATTAATAATTTTAAAAATATCAATATTTGATCGAAACTTTTTAATTTCCATCATTATTTTATGTTAGTTACGTAGAAATAATAAATACAGAGTCAATATGTTGTAATTATATTTTCTGTATAAATATTCTGTTTCTCGATATCGTGAAAAATGCAATTTAATATATTTAGGAAATTCAATCAATATAATTTATCAGAGTAGCCATGGCGAATAAGAGCTCCCGCTTCGTTGGAAAAAGTGCATTTGTTGCGGTAAAAGCGGAATGGTGAGTGGAAATTCCTCGGTGACGGAACAAGGACAAAATACACACAGAAGTTACAGAGCTGTAGAGGAGTGCGCGCATGCGCAAACTGCGTTTTAATTTTCGCTGAAACATTCTTGAGAGTAGGAAGAACCTACAGCTATTTCATTCTAATCTTTTTCATTTCGTCTTGGCATTTTCTTCCGCAAAAAAAAAAAACGAAAAACAAGAAAGTTGTAATATAATTTTGAGAGACAAAATGCTATTTAGCACTTACATCAAATGTCAAATCAAGTAAAACTCTTTCGCCATGGGCTGACTATCGTATAGCAAACCGTGTGTGCCAGATGAAAAATAACGCACCGGTGAGACGACGATTTATCTCGACAGAAATTTTCCGCGAAGAAAAAAGTTATTACAGAAAGGGCAACTTCATCCTCGCGATCAAGCTTTCCGCAACTTGTCTGAGAAACGCGAGTGAGAGAACTCTGAAACTAGTTACGTATAAATTCTTATTCAATGTATCATTTCGCCGATCTTCTAGAAACGAACTTACGCAGTTTGTAAAAATTGTCTAACAAAAAGTGTCTAAAATAAATTTCATTTTTGAAGCAACAAGTTTGAAAATTTTATTTTAATAAAAATTTTTACGTCCTATTTTTTCATATCAAACAAATTTAAAAAACTTTTGTCTTTGAGGTATAATAGCATAAAACATAAAATATACTTTCAAATTATTCAGATAATTTTATAGATTTAATTACATTTCTATTTCTATCTATTTGCTTCTATTTTTTTCTGTTTTTATTTACTACTTATTTGCTATATACAATACTTTATCGCGGAATTGAGAAACAAACAATAGACAACCGCTAGACAAACGAAAAACCAGCCATTTCCCTTTTATTTTGCAAAAACATCTCAATCGCGCTTTAAAGACGCCAAAGAAATATATTCGTGTAAGTTCTTACTTAGAGTTCGTGGTTACAACCCTCTCAGCCGTGAAATGAAGTATGCACTCTTATCCATGGTAAAATCAAGCGGCATTAAGCTTAGCGCCCTTACGTTATTTCGTCATGAATAATTTATCAAGCACGCAACGCGCTTTTCCGAAACAATGCACGCAGATGCCATTGACAAACCTGATCGTTCGAGACAAATTAGCATTTTTTTTTTTATTGTGCGATTTACAACACCGCCGATCCTATGTTCATCTGCGTGAGCAGATCGATCCGTCGTCTCTTTAATCGCGAATATATATAACTTGTCTTATGACGCGAGGGATCCATCGGGGATCATTTCCTGACGACGTGACGTCCTGACGCGCTCGCTGACATTTTGCGTTAGTTATCGCCGATCAATTCTATACGTGCCGACGATTCCATCCCGTACCATAGCGAGTTCCCTTAAACCCGAATTACATTCGCTCCCACTGTCAACAGTGGTTACGCTCACTCGAGTGACATGCGTCACGTTATTATCCAAAGGATATAGCGGACAAACTCTCGTGTTTCAATCAACAAACTCGCGGTCCACGAGATACGACGATTTAAATAATGAAAGAGAATATATTTACAAAAGTATGATAAAAACAAAATAATTAATATTCGGATAATATATATGCATATATTCGATTTTCGAAGAAACGTAATATCAAGTTCACTTTTCAATTTTTATTTTTAAAAAGTAACAAATTAATTAATCTGAGAATTTTAATTGATTTTATAAAGAACTCTCTTATAAAAAATATAACATATTGGCATGAAGTGGAATGTAATGAAGCTTGATAATAATATCGGAATCATTCCCAGTGACCATCAACGTAGTCGAACGTTTCCCGGTTGCACATTTACAAAATTCCGGG